CTAACTGTCATATACTGATTGAAGAAGAAAAAGGAAGAAGAAGAAGAAGAGAATAAATGAAAGAGAGAGAAGAAAAAAAAACGGGAAGAGAGAGAGAGAGGAAAAGAGATAAGATAGTTCTTATCAGATGGTTTCTTTCAGACGGTTATATTAAATTGAAAGTATTCAAGCAATTTTGGAATTCTATGTCTCCTATATCTTCTATGGAATATTGATTTATTTGGGGGTTAGTTATGTACTTTGGCCGTCCCCCACCTGTCCAGTACGGCCCACATATTCCTCCCAAGCTCACCATTCATACCAATCTAATTTGGGAAAATTTTCTAACTGCCTCTATTTAAGACTAATATTTCATAACAGTAACTACCCACACACAATACCCAAAATACTCTAAAATTGGGCAAATTTAGACAAACACAAAAAATTAAAAGAATTAATTCAAAAAATTAAATCAATAACCAACTATTCTCTTCATCCTATTTTTATTCTCTTATTTTTCTTCCTTCTTCTTTCTCTCTCCTATTTATGTCTTCACGTTCTTCTTCTTCTTTCATTTTCTTCGTCTTTCATGTTTTCTCTTTCTTCTTCCCTTTTCTTCTTCTTCTTTTTCTTCTTCAAATATCAACACCTAAGGATAAGAAATAAAAAAAATGATAATAATAATAATAATAACAATCAAATTGGTTATATACATACATAAAATTAGATTACCAAAAAGTAACATAAATATTTGTTAAATTGAACTAACAACAACATCAATAATAACAATAATAACAATAATAATAATAATAATAATAATAATAATAATAATAATAATAATAATAATAATAATAATAATAATAATAAAGAATACACACAGACAAAATTATAGTCCTGCAAGAAATTAAATGAAACAAAAAACTGGAACAAAAAAGCTTCCACGTAACAATAAAACAACAACAAAACAACAACAAAATAATAACAAAACAACTATTGAGCAACGTAAAAACAACGATTAATGCATAACAATTCAGAATGAAAACCCAGCAAGGGGCCTTATCAAGAGGTAAAGAGAAGGAAAAAAAAATCATTACTTGAACATGATAATTTCGCCTATGAAAGTCACCGAGAAGGTAGCGCCCAGGCGATGGAAAAACAGAGGAGGTGAGCCAATTTCAGTAAAGTCACGAGCACATGAAAGTTCTGGCCGTCCGATTTCGATCTGAAGATTTCCGGCTAGAAAATTAATCCAATTGCGAGAAACGCCAGCGTGGTTAAAAATCTTGTCATCCAAACCATCTCTTATTCTTCTTCTTTACTTTCGTTCTGAATCGAGAATTCTGAGTAATCTTATTCGATTTTTAGGGTGCTTAAGAACCCTAATAGAAAAAAAAAACAGATGCCTGAGAAGAAAGAAGAAGAATATGAAAAGCATAAAAGGGTTTGGACAGTTTTTTTTTCTATAAAACTGACAGATATTATGAAAAGTTGCGGCGACTAAAAAAATAAAATCAAATAAAATAAACAACTGCCATATTTATTAAACCCCAAAAGCATCCAAAAAAAGGTATAATTGAAAATAGAAGGAGTGATTTTGTCTAAATAATAAGTTGGAGTAAATAGGAAAACAGTTTAAACAATGAGATAAGGCGTGTACTTATTTCATCTAATTTTCGATCAATTTTAAAAAATAGCCCCTTAATTCTTACATTTATTTCTGTATGAACTATTTAGGTAATAATGATTTTGTTCAAAAATCATTAACAAACTAAAACATATATCAAATTATTATCATTACCTTAGACTTATTTCTCTCAAGCTTAAAAAATTATTCATCTAGTCAAATGGACCAAAACATACATCAAATTATTATTACCTTAGAATAAAATGATCCCATGAGATTTCATAAACAAAAACTCATATAAGAAATCTCACCGCAAATTCCACCTTCATAATTATATTTCCAAGGATTCCTCTAAAATTCAAAATCTTAAAGGATATCAAATTTAAAAAACCTTAAAAATTTATAATCCCAAACGAATACGTCCTTATTAAGGTTTTACATGATTCTTTCTAAATATGAAAAATTTTAAAAGTTTCAAATTTAAAAAAGTTTCAAACAAATAAACTCCTATAAATATTAGATATGCCTAAATACTCCCACAACCCCCAATAAGGATACATGATTATACACAAATGTTGGATAAAATGTTTGCAATGGATGAGGATGTTGTACGTAAAGGTTTGAACGAGCTGAGACGAGCTCGAATTTAGGATTGGACCTTTATTAGACTGAGCTCTGTTAATTCAATGAGCTGATAAACAACCTTCAGCTTGTCTCGTTTATCAAATTTAATGAATCGAGACTTTAACGAGCTAAACTCGAACCTTAACAAGAAAAGCTGAAGAAAGGTAGATAAGAATCTCCCTTTTCGAGGCTTAACGAGCCGAGCTAACTCAACGAGCTCGAACTCGTCTCATTTATCAAATAAATTGAGTCAAGCTAGTGCTTTAATGAGAGTCGAGCCAGCTTACGAGATGCATATTTTTTTATAACAATTTTAATTGTAAATGAAAAATGATTTTGTATAAAATTGAGTATGAAGGCGCATAAGGTGGAGGCAAGTGGACTATACACTCATTGGCGAGAGATGCAACAGGGCGGCTTAGGTTGCAAATGAATCTAGCCACTCACGAGCACTTGAGTCAACGCTCAACTCTATCTCGAGTTGGCCGAAACTCGAGCAATGCAAATTTAAACTCATCAAGTTGAGCTTGAGGCTAGATTTTTTAGTTTCTAAGCTCAAGTGTTTGACTAGTTGCTTGAATATATACTCATAGTTACCTAAATATTCTCAACAAAATATTTTGTATTCAAATTTTCAAGTCAAAATTGGGCAAGATTCGAGTTGATCTCGA